TYWWAAACAGGAGCAAACTATATTTGTACACAGGAAAATTAAAAAACAATTAATGGGAAAGTRTTTTACAAGGAGGATCTGTGTCCAACCCCATTGGAATAGATTATCCTCCAAAAGTGATTTGATTCCCTACCTATMCAGTCTGGTTCCAGGTTATCTTTCATGGATGAGATGCACAATTATAGAGATATTTAACAGTATCTTGCAGACTTGGAATGCCCTCTCAAAAGCAAACAGAAGAGTAGTGTATTAGACTGGCTTCTTGCTCATGCTATCAGACTAGAGTACGCAGATAATGGTCAGTATTTATTAATCATCATATTATTTGTATCAGTCCAGAGATATGATTTGCTTGCCTTGATATTGATCAATATTCATCTTTATACAAAGCACAAACTTACAACAGTCCTGCAAAAGAGAGCCAGCCATTAGCTAGTGATAAAMCTGATGTATCTGAAGAACTTTTAAACTTAACAGGTCAGTTAAGTTTGTAGTAAAATATTAATGCTAGATATTTTGTAATTTGAAAAAAGACCTCTATATAATACAGCTACAAAATGTACAGCTACTTACAAAAATGCTCRAAAATGATTTATTAATCATTTATATTTCAGTTGATAATCCTGATTTAAAAGCAGGTGTGTCATCATTAGCAAGATTACTCAACCTTCCTGAGCACCATGATCATTATGTTCTATTACAGGTCAGACATTCACTCTTTGCTTTGTGATTTTTATATTGCAATACATTTTTCCATATATTATTTGTTTGTGAAACACAWGGGGCATGGAGAGAACACAAGAGTTATGTAGAAAACCACAATGAACAACATTTTAATCTTTAATGGTGGAACTTGCCTTATGAACACACCTAAGTAACAATAGAATGATTAACCCTTTCTCCTTATAATGGTTGTAGGCCATCCAGGCATTAGTTGAATCTAGGTTATCAAAGGAAGGGATACAAGAATCTCAACAAAAGGTTTGTAAACTTCAACCTACATGTTGTTATTGAACAAAGATATGTGCCAACAACATTAGACAATAGTACTCAACAAAGCCTTCTACATTGGTTTGTTTGCTYGTAGAAAAAAGAGAAAAAGAAAGAACCAAGTGATATAATATCTTTAAGGACTTCAGATCTTGGATTTGACACTGGAGGTAAGTAGAAATCATCTATTATAGCTAGTACATAAAAAATATGCAATATTACTTAAAGCACTTAGATCAGACTTTTACGTAGAWATTCCTTGATGTGTGAAAAGGAAATGAGTACTAAAGGCTAATCTTTGACTGTTTTTTATTTAGATTCTGCAGTCAATGAAGCAGCCAAAATCCTACGTTTGTTGCATATTTCTGAGCTCAGAGATCTTCAAACTAAAATCAATGAAGCAATAGTTAGGGTCCAGTCTATCACAGCCAATCCTAAAACTGATCAAAGACTTGGACAAGTTGGAAGATAAATCATTTATATTTACAATAATTCAAAACTATTATAAGAAAGGTGCTTTGGTGGAAACTATTTATCAACTTACAGTAAACATAATAATTCGGTCAAAATAGACAAACAATAATTGTCTTGTGTCATCAACAGGAAATGAAGTGTTTCAATTGTTATATATAGCAAAAAACATAATAAAATGGTCATTTCTAGCATGTGGACAGATCATGTACACCACTCAGATAAGGAGGAAAAAAATAACAAATAGGTTAGAGGAGAGAACACCATGGTGGGATGTGTGGAAAGTTTCACAGCACACTTACTACTTTCATACAACATTACAACTACTAAACCCTAAACTCACCCTCACCCCCATATTTTTGAAATTTTGTTTCATGATAAAAGCTCGTTGTATTTTCCTATAATGTAATTCATTAATAGTTATATTTACTGCAAAATGAAAGCTTGATGAATAAAACAGGATTTCTTGACCACAATATTAATTAATCTTCTTAGCCCCCCAGGGCCAAAAACGCTCCGCCACCCCTGGGGCGTACATGAAAATGATGTGTGCTCAAGCAAAATATATAAGGGTCAGTAAGTTCATTTACATGCATGTGTCTGAAATATTTTGGGAGTTGGCTATCCCCCCAGTGCCACTCTGCATCTCCAACAAATTTTCACTTAGTGGAAGTGGACAATGAAAAAATGGAGTGATGCAAATAGAAGAGAACGTTACTACTTGTCCTATCTGTAATGCAAAAATCCCAGAAAATTGTGAATTAGCAACATATCAATAATAAAGTGACGTAACCCGGAACTAACTTGAGTGAAGCCCCTGGGGCGAGAGTGTGAATGAGAAGTTGTGACGTTTGCAATGCAGCCTGGGATTGTAATGGCGGGGTGCAGTTACCGAGTTGTTCTGATTCCCATCATTTCCTCTGGTGTGAGAGTTCAATAGAGGCTAATTTTCGTCTGATCAATGGCGTGAAAGTACAGCTTAAATAGATGGTCCTAATGCAGTAAGCATTCAATGTGGGCTTTGGTTTTCGTACGGGAATAAAGCTGTCTCGACAAGAGAAAGACTTTGGTCGAAGATTTGACGAAAGATACACGGTGACTCTAGTACCAGTCATTAATTATCGCTGAAATCCGCAATGTAGTCATTAATRTCGCTCATAAGTCAAACTATTATTTGATTCAAGAATAAGGTATATCATATGGCAAGGATGGAATAGGGTCGATCATGAGCTTCTATACTTCACAAGTTGGGAAATCGTCATCTCGATATAACAACTCAAGCCTCTACGGAACTAATCTAAGCTCTGTGTATGCCGATGGCCCACCTCCTCTGGATGATAGCACTCAGGATGAAGATGAAGACGAAATGGTTTTCAAAGATACCAAATCATTACGTGGACACGAAAAGGTAGACAAAGAATTGTCGAATCAGCCAGATGTCCAACCGTGGCCGTCGCACGGTGCTTCGAAAACCCAAACTACTGATGACGATTTTGGAGACTTTTCAAGCTTTGCGGACTTTTCAACAGCATTTGAGAGTACCAAGGAATCGAGTTCGTCTTGGTTCGGCTCGAATGGCGAGTGTGTTAAGTCAACTGGAACATTTTTAAAGAACTCTAGTCAAAACGACAAGTTGTCTAACGACGACGATGAATTTGGTTGCTTTTCTGGAGGCGATGAAAGCGATTTTGAGGGCTTCAAGGGGTTTTCTGATGGAAATACAGAAGAACAAAGTAGTAATAATATTTCAAATGGTGTTGAGACTGAGATGACTGGCCACAATGTTCAAAATAACTCTCAGCATGATGCTATACAAAATAACCWYATGAAGACAGACTTCTTTTCAGATGATGATGATGATTGTGATGATTTCCAGGCATCACATGAAGGGAGTGTGGGTAACAGTATACAATCATCTCATTCTCCAACTGAATCTAGAACTACACAAGTTGCCAGCGGAATGCAGTCGTCAGAAATGCCTTCTATATTTAGTGATGATGATGACGATGATGAATTTGGTGAATTTAGCAGCTCAGATTTCAATAACATTCAAACTTCAGATGTAGCACAAAGCAATTCAACATTTCAATTTAGTACAAGTGAGTCTGATCATAAAGCAGATTCTCAATCACTAGAGGCCGGTGATAGTCAACAAGACACAATTAGCACCACCAAAACAAATGAAAATGGGGCTATTACATCAACTSCAGACAACGATACTTGGACTACATCAAACCAGGAGGATTCAACAACAACTATTCATAATCCTTCCGAATCTTGCACATCAGAGAAACAATCTCAAAAAGAGCACCAATCAACTAGTGATTCATGTRATGAATTATCACAAGATAAAACTAATCTTGATTTTGTTGGAGATGATGAGTTTGGTGATTTTAGTGCAAGTTTTGATACYGATTCTAAAAGTAATAATTCAATCAATAAGTTTGTAACTTCAAATGAAATGAATAATGAAAATGATGATTTTGTCAAGCAATCAAGTCTAAAAACTATTACTGATGATGCTTGTGAAGAAATGACTTCAAATTCTAATAGAGATGGCAATGATTTTGGTGACTTCTCAGCCATTTCACATACCCAGGAGAACACTTATAATACAAAGATTATATTGAATGATAATAATTTGGGAGATTCTGCATCAGTTACACATTCTAAATCTAATTTTGAAGAATTTGGTAGCATCTCAACACATGAGCAACAAAGGGAAGATAGTGTTAGTATAAGTGAAAAACCTTCAAAAGATAGCATGAATGCACAAGCTGATCAAGATAGCTTTGGAGATTTCTCTTCTGTTCATTCAGACATAAGTACCACAAGCAGTCAACCTCAAACTGAATCCAATCATGATTTAAAMATGGAATCTAAARGTGATGCACAAACTGATCAAGAACACAGCAAAAATGATTTTAGTTGTATTGATTCTGAACATGAAAAAGACAAAGTGGATGATGATGAGTTTGGAGATTTTGCTGATATTCCAGTATCTACAAATCACCCAGGAAACATKMATGTTGATGACATTTCAACCATTCAACCATCATTATCTACTAAATTCAGCAGTGATGATGAAAGTAATGATAAGCAAAGCCATCAGGATGACAGCTTTGGCAATTTTGCTACATTTCCAGAGTCAGGTAACAATGAGGATGATGATTTTGGAGACTTTGCTGAATCCCAACCAACATTTGAGAAACAACAGCATCAGGATGACAGCTTTGGTAACTTTGGATCATTTTCAAACTCAGGTGACATGAACAGTACTGKGGATGATAACAATTTTGGAGAATTTACTGCATCAACAAGGAAATCATCAGATAACAAGCATAATTCTGAAGATGRCAATTTTGGAAACTTTGCCACATTTTCAAATCCAGGTGATGTAAAAACTGGAGAGRGTATAGAGGAAGATGATTTTGGTGAATTTGGTCAACCATCGTCCAGTGAAYTGAACAGTTATGATGATGATTTTGGTRATTTCTCGCAAAGTTCACAAAGTGCAGTTGCCAGTGCTCAAGTTAAGRMTTCCACTGARAACAATTTTGCAAGTTTCAAGACAGCTGGAAAGAGTTCAGATGATTTTGGGAATTTTAGCTCTGTAAATGAGGCTACCTCASTGTCTCCATCACAGKCAAGAAYGCCATCAAGCACAGGAGCAAACAATGTAGGTTTGGTTGTAATATGTCAACCAATATTTTAGCAATAGAAATAGTTATGACAGGACAGCATAGGAAATTGAATTTATTTCTTACGATTTATTTATGCAGAGGATCAGTTACATTATTTTATTTTATTACAGGCTTCATCAATCTTTCAACCTCAAAGACACACTTCAATCACAACAATAAACAATCAAGTAAACAAAGGTTTTGTCAACGTACAAGCAAACATACAAAGAAACATGGTTATTGTAATGTTGCAACATGAGCTACAGTCAGGAAAACCCAGGTAAATCCCATTCATCTGTCATTCAAATTTGTAAAAGTACTTGGTAATAATAATCATGGTTACTTATTGTTGTCAACAAGACMAAGTACACATGTTTGTAAGTGAAATGGTAATTTGACACAAGTTACTTGGAAATTATGACTCATTCAACAGCATGAAATTTTTGTTTTATTTCTATTTCAGTGTGTGGACAACTSTCAAAGGGGCAGAAAGAGATGGAACTCTTAGATTTGAATGGGAGGCATCTGATCACAAACTAAAAATGTTGGAATCTTTGTCCATGCTTCCTGTCAGAATACAGGTAATTTTTAGCTGAGGGAATGGTTTTATGTTTTCARGGGTAGGTGAGAATATTATTTAMTTTCCATTTTCTTAACTTTAGACAAGTGYAAACTTTAAGTCAAGTGGACCAGTTCAAACTCCTTTGTTTGCTTCTGGATTGGTAAGCAAATATTATAGGCTTCTTACTTAAGGTTGTTAAAAGCACAAGCTTTCTGTTCAATTATGTTAAGGAGTATTGTCAGAGTATTAAGCCTTGATGTAAATGAAGGACTATATCAGTGACCTCRATAATGTCTTTATAGGGTCTTCTTGAACCAGTCAAAGGAGTTATAACTCCATTTCATCATGCAGAAGAGTTAGATCCTTCCCAAGACCCATTTGGAGCYCCCCCTGAGGTTGGTGTACCTGATCTTGGTGTAAGTATCTTCTGTGTTGTTGCCATAATCATTCATAGATGTTGATACTATTTTATRTGCATTGAAAGTCTAAGTTGTGTCCAGGTTTCMCAGTGKTTAAAGTTATCTTGTTTGTTTTAGTTTGGSGGAAATGGAAAYTCAACAAAGAATGATACTTTTGCAGGTGAAAACATCTTGAATTTTCTGAATACTCTGAAAAATAGGTTAACAAACTGATGAATGTATTTGCTACTATGAATTAAAAGCTAAGTGTTGAAATCTGATATAGGACATTTAGAAGTCAAAGACAACATGGATTCTGTATCGGTATCATCTTCATTGGACCTAGACTTCCTTGGTTTATCTGGCAGCACTGGTGATTTGACAAAAACAGGTACCARGAACACCAATTGTATTGGTTGTATYCTTGAAGCCAAATTACCTTTTGTTAATAACACTCCATTTATTGGACTACCTAGTAAAAAGAAGTTCCCTAGCTCGTTCCCGTGGTAGTATTATTAGTATACTAATCTTTTCTTTGTTTTGATATCAAATAGAGGGCAAAGCTCTATATGAGGATGATCTTCTAGGACTTGGCATGCAGTTCTCAGCTGTAAATGATAGCCCTAARGTCTTCAATAGCAGTAAAGATCAAAAGAAAATCTTCAAATTCAATAATACAACAGTGTCATTRCCAAGTGATGATAAAAACCTTAGTGAGCAAGCAAAAAAGATTGTGAATGACTTTGAGGATTTGTCATTTATGCTGTCAAAAGTTCTTATGTTCCCTTTGAAATCAAATGAATGAGCTGAAAATATTTCCATGTCTACACTGACTAAATAATAGATGAAAGTAATTTTATGTGCATTTTTCCTTTCAAAAACCGTACAATAATAACAATATATTTTGATTTAGTTTCATTTAGATTATTGATAAGTCAGCTGTGTCATGTTTGTCATAGAGACAATATAAATCATAAGCTAGCTATCTGAGAAAAAAAACATGAAGTGTTTCTGATAATATTGTAGATCAATATTGGTAGACTTCTTCCCTTCCAGTTGTTTACATATTATTAAACCTCAAAGCTCTCAAATGATTTATGCCTACATATCATGTTCTGTGCAGGCAGCCCAATTTTATTATCTTTTTTGGAATTAGAATAATGTGCATTGAATCAGCGGTAATCATGCATATTTGTTGTCTTGTTGTGCCTTAGTCTGCATGAATTGTGTCATAAAAATAAATATTTTGATAAGCTGTAGTGGTAAATAATTCATGGGTAAAATCATCTAGGTGTATATAAAGTATATAGCTATTGTATAGCTGATAATATTAAATAAATTGCTATTGTACCAAGTATTGTTGTGTTTATTGAAATGTTGACATTTTTAATGTGACATCAATGTTGGCGCTTAGTAAACCAAGCAATAGTATCTAGAAAACAAAGAACATAGCCATTTTTACATTGTAAATTGCCAAGGTTTTACAACATTAGGCATGTTACCCTTCTGATTTTCAACAAATATAAATGAATTCTCACCACCCCCACCCCCTAAGGACGTTTTGTCCATGTTACGTGTCGTCTGCTAATCACGTGTCTCTTTCTTCTGCACTATCCTTGGATTTGTCTTCGTTTACTTCGTTACTTTCGTATTTCTTCATTTATTCCTTAATATCTTCGTACTTCGCTCTAGCTAGCTCCTATAAACATGGCATTACGTCTAGGATTAGCTACCTCTTGTCGTTTTGCTCGAAAGCAAGCTCACGGGACGTTGCCAAGAGTGTTTCGTGTGGCACGATGTTCATCAGCTGTTTCGGGTGAGTAAATAGCCTTACAACATTGCTCGTTTGTCCCATGTATAAATAGTGGTGGAACAACATGCAATAGTCCACGTTTTAACATATTAACGGCTTGTATTTTTCTACAAACTTTGAATGTTCCTAATATCTTGTACAATGCACTAGTCTGCAACTCGATCAATCTGTCACCTTTTCCCTCTTTCAAATTTTCCATTAAGATTGAGTTTATATGCTTTATAGTTTATCAGGTTTGAAATAAGAAAGAAACAAAGCAGACATCGAATCTTTAATAAATATTKTTTTCTCACATGACAAGTTTGATTACAACAGGTTGCAGAAGGTTGTTTTGAAAGTAAGCTTAAATAATAAACTTAAATCCCTTTTATATATTATTTTGATATTCCAAAATGAATTTGTTTTCATTTATTTGCAAATATAGATGCAAACCTCCAGTTGCCTGTAAAGGACAAAAAGCTCTTCACCCCTGGTCCTCTTGGGACATCATTTGATACAAAGAAAGTGATGATGAGAGATGTTGGWTCRAGAGACGAAGACTTTGTTAACTGCGTTCAATTCATAAGGCGTAAACTGCTTGAAGTTGCTGGGGCTTCTCCTAAAGAGTACACAGTGATACCAGTTCAGGGCAGTGGAACATATTCTATTGAGTCAGTATTGACAACAGCCACACCTAGGGATAGCAATGCAAAACTACTGATAGTTGTCAGTGGTGCTTATGGAAAGCGTATGGTGAAGATATGTGAAATTGCAGGCATCAATGCAGTAAGTTGTACATTTTCTCAGTGAGTTTACTGACTTAATCCAAGATCATCCATCTCTGATATGTCCTAGATCAATGTTCCTTTAATATTATTCTTGTATTTTAGATTGTACTTGACGGACCTGAGGATCAAAAAGCCGATGTTCATGCTGTAGAGAAAGTCCTTCAAGAAAACCCAGATCTCAGTGGTGTATGCATAGTACATTGTGAGACAACATCTGGTGTTATTCACCCGGTGGAAGCAGTTGGCAAACTTGTCCAAAAGTACACACCRAATGCATTTTTCTTTGTTGATGCCATGAGTAGTTTTGGTGCAATTCCACTGAACTTAGAGAATGCTCGTGTTTCATACATGGTTAGTTCTGCCAATAAATGYATAGAGGGTGTCCCTGGGTTTTCCTACATCATTGCTAAYACTGMTCAYTTGATGAAGTGTAAGGGACAGGCAAGAACTCTGTCTCTTGACTTTGTTGATCAGTATGAGGTTTTAGAGAAAACAGGACAGTTCAGGTTTACTCCTCCAACACAGTCAATGCTGGCATTTAGAAAAGCTTTACAAGAGCTTGATGAAGAGGGTGGTGTTGTAGGACGAGCAGAGAGGTATGATATTATGTTGTACATGTCCTGCTTTTCAAAGAATCAAATTTATTGGGTTGGTGATTAATGATAAGTGAATAAATGATAAAAATGTTATCAAATAAGAGGACACTTTATGTTGTAACTATTAATAATTAACTAGTTTCTTTAAATATTTTTTCCTAATCAACAACAGATACATGGATAACAGACACATTCTACGAGATGGTATGAGGAAATTTGGTTTCAAAGAGTTTCTGGATGATACCCATGAAGGMTATATTATCACATCATTCCACTATCCAAAGCATCCCAACTTTGACTTCTCAGACTTCTACAAGCGCCTCAGTGAAAAGAATCAAGTAATTTATCCAGGCAAAGTCACCAAAACAGATTGCTTTAGGATTGGTAACATTGGTTATCTGTTTCCCAAGGATATGGAATACTTACTAAGTTGTATTGAAGAAGTCATGAAAGACATGAACATCCCATTGCCGCTAGATGAGCAGTAAAYTAGGACCAAGCATGGATAAGTAGAATATAGATTGACTCAGGTATTCAAGTGTCATGAAGTACTGTATTTCATGCTTTTAGAGTACCTACTGATTTGTTTACCTTAAGCCATAGCATCAAACATGCCAAGTCRTACTTTTCAGAATCTCTAAAGATCCTCGGTTATTACCATATAAACTCTATTAGTACTTTAGTTAGTAGAAATCCAAATAATTTATTATTCATTGATTCAGTCAATACTCATTAATTAATATAAGCATCCAAGTGGAATTGTGTAAAAGGTATAATTAGATTTATTGTAATTATCTKTTGTTTTCTCAAGGGTCATGTAAATGTGGAAAAACAAACAAATAAAATTTGATTTTTTTAGGAGTATCATGGATTACTGAACTTTCTCATTGTACTGAAATATTACAATCTTACTACCTCCTTATACATCATATGGAACCAACAGATGCCTTCTTGTACAAAGCATGTACAGTAGAGTACTAAAACTGTGCAACATAAATACCAGTAAATACTGCCAAATACTGCTAAATTATGCTAATTCTATTGTTTAATTAGAGTGGTTTTTATTAACTCGTGAAACACACTTTAGCGTATTTATCGCTATTACACTTTGGCTCTTTTGTTTTTTATTGTCTCTACGTGACTATTATGATCTATTACACTCTAATTATTACACTTTGTTTCACGGGTTTATGAAAACCACTCTAACACTATTTTGTAGTAAATAGTGGAAAGTGTTGCACGCATTTTGTACTCTACTTGTTGAAACACGTGTTATCTAATACAATATGTATGTGACATTTATGGCTAAGCACACTAAACAATCAGCAGTGTCTGATTCTTACGTGATGTCATAGCTTATGTTGTGCCAAATAATTCTTCAACTCGAGCCGAATCAGTGTGTAGTTTAAAGGACCCGTCCCGGCATTTTTTGACCACTTTTTCTCTGCTTGATTTCACTGGCTTGCATACAAGTGCACTTGTGTGGGCCCTAGGGACTGGCCATTAGATTTTTGAGGGGTTGGGCAGTTGTTTTAATGCAGGAAACTCCTTTTTTTCTTCATTGCACTTCAGAAATGATTTTTCAACATATGCAAATATTTGGTTTTCTTGTGATTTATTGGCCCAGCCCACCCAACATTCAAAATAGAAAGTAAATGTTTATTTTGCATATCAATGCTAATCAGGTTTTCACACTTGATTCTATCCCTACAGTAGAACATTACTAGTAGTTTACTCTATACATTAGCTTTTAATTCTTCCCGAGTTCGAAAAACCACAACTGGTAGTACAATATCATGAGCATAATTAATTTTAGTACAATCTTAAATTAATTACTTTTAACTTTTAAGTTAAATAATCCTAGTAAATGTTGTCCGCAATGTCTACTGGTCTGAAGGAATCCAGTTCAACCATTTTAAAAACTCAGGAAAAGAAATCTTTCCATTTCCATCTTTATCCAACACTTTTAAAGCACTTTCTAGAGACTGCTTGTAGTTAACGTCTTTCAGGAGTTGTTTCAGCTCATTAACTTCGATCGTTCCACTGCCRTCTTTATCATACTTTTTGAACATATCCACAGCCTTTCTCGTGTAATAATACTTTGTATTATCATTGACAGTATCCAGGCCTTTTCTGTCGTGAAGCCATTCCATAAACTCGTCAAAACTCACTGAACCGCTACCATCTTTATCAACAACTAAAGCCATGGCTTCAGCTTGCTTGGAATCCATTCCCATGTCATCTTTTAAAAGTCTCATTAGCTCATCTCGCTGCAGTCTACCACTCCCATCAATGTCGTATTTTGTAAATAAACTTTTTACGACAATTCTTGGAGTATTTTCAGAGAAATAACTCTTACCAGAGGCCATGGTTGAAAAACACTTGAAAGGTTGCCGGAGGTTGCAAATCACATGATATACACAGGTAACCCAAAATAATCTGRATATTTTCTTTCCATTCATTTTTTTTCATACAATGATTATTTATTTTTTAATTTTCTCTTTTCACTTTTATGTCAACTTTTTTTATTCTCCGATASTAGTATTTATGCATTAGTCGATCTCAGGCATTAYCCGGGGACCTRACATTCAAAAAATTAAAATCGCCACGTARAGTCCAAAATCGTCTAAAATGACATTTGTTTAATTACTTATTTTCCGCTTCATTTTCCTAGAAAAAAATACTTGACCTATAASATATTTTATTTTAGTGMTCTTCGGGATTCCTGTTTCTGATTCAGTTGAGCCTGTCAGGCCTGTTGGGATTGATCCTTGTCAAAGTTTGTCGCTTATGATGTTTTATCACCGAACTTTGTTCATTTTCATTGCTCTTTTATTGATCGGACTATCAAGACACGAGGACAATAACGATACTCTCTCACCTGAGGTAAATGAAATCGACCTTTCAGCCGGMTTTTACATACACCATAGYGCTTTTTGCGCCACATGAATGAACAGGCATTCCCTCGGTCAATCCTCCATTTGTCATTTAGCTAATTATCCTAATTTTTCTTTATCTTACTTCCTATTCATTTTCAACCCAAAGCAACCAGTCTTGGCTAACAACCTTAAGCCCTATTACTACATGGACAAAGGAGAAGTTATCAAGGTAGACTGGCTGTTAGTAAAAAACCTGATCATATGCAAAGGTTTGACGGTTTTTTCTCGCTTGCTTGTTTTTTTCTTGTTTTTTTCAAAGTTATGGGTGCAAATAATCCACGACCCTTGGCAAGACAACAGGCTAATTGTAAGTAAAAGCGTTTTGCAAAACGATCAAAACTTTACAGTAATTTTGGAGAGTTGTTAAAGAAAGCTAAGATCTGGTGATCACGTGTTTTTTTTTTCATTCAGTAAAAAGTTCAGTTTGATGAAATAACGAYATTTCATTTCAATGTAGGCAGGAGTAAGCAATTCATCTGTCCTTTCATTCAATTTGACAAGCCACAAACAAATAACTGATTTTGCAGGAGTTATYAAAAGAAATGTGGTAAGAATTTCACTAGGAATTTCACAATCTGCAATTGACTTATTGTATGTGCTTTTTTCATKTCGACTGAGAATGTATATTCAAGACGTGTATTCATGTTTCAGACTGCTACTCTATTCCAACATCCTAGCCATGCTTTCAAACTTCTTGAAAATMGGTAAGGGGTGTCAAAACAGCTGAAGGTACCAAATTTATTGTTAAATAAAGTGCCTGCATTTCAGAGCTAACTTTTCTGGGGAAATCGAATTTCACGTCAAAGCATTTCCTTTGAACAGGAATCGTACCGTGGTAAGTAACCGCTATTATACAGAAACCAGGCAGGAAAACACATAAACAGACAAATAATTAAATGTATTTCTTCCAGTCTACAAAGATTACGCTGGGATGCCCGAATAATCGGCATTTGAGAATAGATGGGTGAGTATTAATTGCTATAATAAATGAGAGGTGTAATTACAGGGGGGCTCACATGGGCCCTTGACCTGGACTCCCTTTCAAAGCCAAATTTTATTTACTTCTAGAAAACAGAAATCTGACAGTTGGTGCAGTGTAGAGATTCGTTTAGAATAATTAATGATAATAAATGATAATAGTAATCTAATGAGAGGATACGCCCCTGGAATGGATAAGAAATACCTTCTAACGTCTTATAGTCTTGTATCCAATCATGGATAATAAAAATGTGCTACACTGTATGTTTATAAATTTAGTACTAAAACTGATGATTTTCGACTCGAAACTGAAAAGTAAGTCGATATTATTTCCGTGCATATTTTGGATCTCAATAACATTGTACTGAAAAATTGTGCACTAAAATACATAATATTCTAGATTCACAGCGATGCAGTTCTAGTTCGTTTAGTTCATCTCTCACTCAGTGTCGCTGGTTGGTACCCAGTTTAACCATTTTAAAAAYTCAGGAAAAGAAAYGGTGCCATCTCCATCTTTATCCATGTCTGCTAACGCATCTTGTACTGAATGCCTATAGTCAATGTCATCCAACAGCTTCCTCAGCTCAACTGCATCAATCTTTCCGTTGCCGTCAATGTCGTATTTTTTGAAAAGGTCCACAGCTTTTCTTGTGTAGTAATACCGATTACTACAATCTTGGGATTCGTTTATCATGTCCATACCTTTTTCGTTGCGAAACCACTGAAGGAATTCCTCAAAACTAACACTTCCATCACAATCACTGTCTATCGCGGCCAAGATGGCTTTAGCTTTCTTTATCTCCAGACCCAAGTCAACCCTCAGAAGTGACATGATTTCGTCTTGCTGCAACTCACCATTGCCATCTGCGTCGTACTTTCTGAATAAGCTTTGAATCACGACTACAGGTGTASTCTCGCTAAAATAGCTCTTTCCCGACATAGTTTGTTGCAGCAACTGTTTCAAATAAGAGAACTTATTTACTAGTGAAAACCGAAATAACTTTCGAAAGAATCAATGTCGTGTGAGTGGTTCAATCAATAAAAGTTTTTGGTTAAAACATTCCCGGATTGTCCACGGTATGTCACCAAGGAGACGGCTCCTGCTGGTGTTGCAGTTCAGATCATATATTTGTTTAATCATTTATTATATTCATGACTCATTCTCTAATAAGTCTCTCAAGACCTTCAATCTCAGTTGTATATACAAATATAGTTATAAAGACTATTTCATAAAATCTGAACCATGTCAGCTTCTAAAAAGGACGTTTATGACTATGTACATTTCAACTTTGGGTAGTGATTTTTTTTAATCTTTGTAGAGTGTCATTCATATTTCATTTCGGCACCTGATTTTTTTTGCGACCCTAATAAAGTAATTGAAGAACACAACGTTCTCCTGTTTCTCTGCCATGTCTTCTCTTACTGAGGATGATATTCTGTTACATTCTATTATATGATGTTTATCACTATGTTCATTGACGCTAATTATTAATTGATAACTTTATAATCATTTTGAATTATTGACAGACAAACTTTCAAAAGCTGTGAACAGTACAAGAACTTCAACTATACCATTTCAAGGTGATTTATAACTACATTGCCGTGTCGTGAAAGACGGATGCAGAACGCGTAGACCGCGTAGTTTAGTACTTTTTCAATAAGCCACTTTGCTGATGTAGGTTTTTTTAAGTCTTTAGACAGTGTATCTTGTATACTAGGTTTGTTTTTCGTTTACAGTACTCAGCTCCCCAAGGAAGAAAATTCCAAGGTATAGATTATRTCTTTCAGCATGAGCCCCTTATCCGMGAAAAATCGCATTTTTTGATAGAATCAGCCTTTCACAGCGCGCGTCAAGTCAAGTGATCAAACTACTTGTTTTTAGGTTGTCCAATACGATGTGAGCTCGCTTGGTTGTCCTATTCCATCAAGATTAACAAGTAAATTCAAACCAACAATTTTCCTGTAAGTATTAAAACACAGTTATAGTGTCAAATTACTTCACATTACTAGTAGATACTAGTACAATTAGTTAATTAGAAATAAACAGAGTACGTACTCAAGAGACTGCAGTAGCTATCATACTTGCTAAAGCTAAATTTTCATTAGTTAGTTATTTTTATCAGATATGATGGTAACGAGATGGTTAAAGAATTGACTACGAATTTCGTCATGTGGGAGAAAAATGGAAGAAACTCTTATCACTACAGTCACACTATGAAACAGGTAAGACATTGGGAGTAAAATATTCGTCGTCTTTCTAAAACAGGAAAAAAGTGTAAGGTAAAACCATCCATGCACTTTTCTTTTCTTGCGTCACAACCGGACGCACCAGCGGGTGGGGGTGGGGTGTGAGGAGTATAGGGCGTGGCAATGATTTTGACAAATTTAATAAATGTATAGTGGGAATTAAAATACATGATTTTTCAARCATTTCACTGTCTGTACCCMCCAAAATTTAATTCTTGCTGCATCCATGACTGGACATGAACAAAATCCTTGATAACAAAAARTCTTCCCAGTGCAATCATTGAACTACAGGTTGGRTGTTTAAGAGTTTCCCAGTCRTGGGATGACATGATCAGTGGAGACAATGMAGAAGATGCATGGACTCAAGAGGTAGATGAAACCAAACATGATCACTAACTGTACAAAGATTATAGATGTCAATTTGCATGTAGTGTCAGGATTCTCATGTGGTTAAAAGTTTGTTTGAGAGTCTCAAAATGACTTACAGKAAGAATAATAGTGAGCACACAAGCCCATGCATAGCATCCYCCTGTCCTGCCACAAAGAAATTTATCCATGCAGGAATATCCTATCATTGAATAATCAAATAATTTGTCTTAATAGAATTTTGAAAGTTGTTATGAGAAAAGTAATGAYACAAGAGGTTTGAATAAGCCATATGAAATCCTGAACAGCACTGGGGGTTCATCACTGGTATGGCATGATAAAGGAATCTATGCATTTAAACTGAGAGTTGTTGATCCAAACACCAGGTTAGGTGCATTCACACTTTTGTTTATTATAAATAATTTATTTACAGTTGCCCATAAATTAATAAATACAATTTACTTCTTGCAGTATATCAAATATATTCTTTACCCTAAGTATATGTCATTGTCTGCTATAAGGTGGCAAATGCTAAGGCATTATTTAATTCACAAATTATATGAGAGATTTTAATCTCAAATTGAATAGGATTCCTTACTTTCTTCTTTGAATTACTTATCACTTTTGCTTATTTTTTAAATATCTGCATGCTATGTTCCTCAGCTTTTGTGACCTGACAGCAGAGTTTGCTGTAATAGTTGCAGACACAGGAGAGCCAGACAATGTCATCCCCACATTTGTTGTTCTCAGTTCATCCTGCCTGGGAATMTTGTTTGGTTGTATTGCATCATTTTACATTGATTCATTCTGCTTCTAATAAACCTTGTGAGAGCTGCAAAAACACAAAATAATTTAACAAATRCTATAATCATTAAACTAGTATGAGCAATGTCAGTGTTTCTAGACTGTATTGACATTATTACCAAATTTCAGTTTCCTGACTYCTTCTTTGCTGCGTWTTTATGTTGACAATTCTTTTGGTTAATATACAAATGAAGAGCTGCTTTTGCTGACAGTGCTAGTGAATCTAAAAATTTTGCTGCTTCACCCGAGGGAGTGTTTTGTTGTATCTCCTGCAAGTAAATTACAAAGGTTATTACAATTCTCATCTATTATTAACGTTCAGTTTATCATTAAGTGTGTGAAATATTTGATACTTACAGACATTTTAATAAAAGCTATTTCAGTGGATTCATATGCTTCTGGTCCACCATRGTCATAGAGTGTCTTGATTTCTTTGCTTGAAAGAGAACATCTACAAAAAAGAATTACAAGTTATAATGATTATAATATAAACCTAAGTATATTTAGCAAATGATCTTCACATTCAGCTTTACCTTATAAGAAAGCAAATCTCTGGTCGCCCACTGGACTTTGGATTTCTAATGATACCTAAGAGAACTGGCCAGCTTAGTGATTCAAGAGGTAAATTAACCTGAAAGACAATAACATAAAACGTCACTCCAGATAAAAGGTGATATCTGTCTATTGACAGTATTATAGAAATTATATAGTGGAGGTTATATAAGGAGGTTATTCCGGGAGAAAGACCCTTGGAAATATATTTGGAAAAAATAATTTCCAGCAATTAATTGACAATATTACCTCATCCCGCACTTCCTTGGCTATGCAGTGGAAAATTTCAAAGGCAACTTTCTTTGGATCCATATCCATGAGGTCAAGAACTTCACCTTTTTCATTCTTTAATTCCTAAAACCAATTGGGAAAAAAACAGACATTTATAAACTTTCCTGTGCAGCACTTCCTCTTGTTATAGGMTTGATTCTTTAACTAGATAAGAAAAGCTACAGACTATGATTGATTTGTTGAAAACAACAGACAGAATCCTTGGACCAAGGATTGTCTTATCTGTCAATCACTTACACTTGGTTCAGGGTGACCCCCAGGTGTATGAAACAATCCTGCAAACTCATAAACCTTTTGACTTCTTTTGATAAATATAGCTTCATCATCACGTGATATCACAAGTCCATTTGCACCAATAGGATCAGCAAAACAAGCACGTGGATCGTCGTACATCTTAGTTCCCCATGACCGTATAGTTTCTCTTAGTTCAGCACACATATTTGTGCATATGAAATCACGATAACAAGTCATTCCAACTTTCAAAACAAGATTACCATTATTTAATGCAATATCTTTTAGCCTAAATTTGGTTCCATTGTAAAGAAGTGGGCAACGTTGAAGTCTTTCTTGCCACGTTTGCTCTGTTTTTTTCTCCAAGTCTTCTTGAAGTGGTTTACGGTCGAARGAGTTGGACAGACTTACAACAACCTTATCCATGTTAACCTCCATGCAACACCAGTTGTACAACTCTTCGTAATTCTCAGGCGAGGGATGAAAAGTAAATCCATTTGAAACAGATGCYATGATGCCTACAAGGTTTCTGATAAAAGTATGCTAATTTTGATGGTTTGGAAGAAGAAAAACTTTCATAACATTATTTGTTATTCTTATCTCTATTGTGATTCGCCAATGGCAAGCGAATCAAAATTGAGGTTATAAATTTCTGTAGGTCAGCGGACTTTCACTTRATGTCATGGCAACTTGAGCAACAAAGTCAAAAAGAAGAAGGAAGGTCGAAGAGAGTACATTGAGAAAGAACAGCTTAGTTTTCACTGTATTTTCATCCAAAATGGAGTCTGAAGGCCTTCATATGAGTATAGACTACGTCGGAAGTAGTGGAATTATTTTGAGTACAGAACAAAAAGCAGCATTACAGTCTTCCTTGGTAATTTTGAGGAACAACTACAAGTTCGAGCGAGTACTATTTTGGGGAAAGATTCTTGGAGTAAAGAACGACTATTTTATTGTACAAGGAGTCGGGAAAGACGAGCTGAAAGAACGCAAAACACTTTACAGGTAAGCACAAATATTAAACTGTACAAAAGTTGGATAAAGGAACTGGTACTTTACAAATGTGACTTGAACTTCATTCCCTGTTTATACTCAGTTTCTAATACGAGTCCTTTTTTCTATTTAGTCAGGATTGTATTCACTGGGGTTTACTGCCTGTTGTGACTACYAAAATGAGAAATGAATGCTCGTTTGTAAAAGGACGCTTCACAGGAGATCCCTCTTATGAATATGAACACACTGAAACTGCAAAAGTTGACAACCAAGATGGTGAGAAAGGCGAAGGTGGTGAAGAGGAAAACACGGTAAAGCAACTTTTACAAAGTACTTTGTTTACAAGAGAACYCTCTCCCCAATCCCCTAGACTGATAAGCACAGGGATCTCAGTGAGAGCTACATGGCATAMCATGAAGTCTGTGAGGAGGAAAAGAGACTATAGTACTAAATTGACATAAAAGCTTGGAAATTACTCCTATAAACCTGACAAATCAGATTATARCACAATGAAACCAGGCAAAATAATATTGAAAAAGTCTTTTATACTAAGTTGTTTTACTGGTTCATGTAGATACTAATCAAAGAGGAGGACAGACTTGCAACGACAATCGAAGCAATTGACTACGATGTTAGGATTGTGCCAAGAGGGGCTTTCTTACGAACAGCAACAGCAGCAGTTAAAAAGAACAGAAGTTTTGAGGGTTAGACATCAATATTCTATCAACTATATTGCTAAACTGTTGTACTCATATCGTTTTTCTGTGTTAACAGGGCTTTCAGTAGCTGATTCAGGGAAGCTCTCATCATATTTCCATTTCCGTGATCCTGTCCTTTTTATCAAGAAAAGCTTATTGCAGAAATCTGAACTTGACAAAGCAATTGACTTCTTGGACCCCATTGATGCCGATGTCCCAAGAGGAGGTAATAAACTTATAATGCCTCATATTTAGAATATTGAGAATTGTTAAACAACCAAGTGTGTCAACTGGTATCTCTAAACAACCACTGGGTTGATTTGGGCATAGTCAGCATAAGATTATTGGTGGAATGCCAGYTTTTTAGGTTGTTATCAATGTTGTCATGTAAATATGAGGCCACGTTTTAGAAGTTTTATGTTGGTTGTTGTACAATAGGGGATTTTGGGTCGCTAGTAGTTACATGTATTATTGACCRATGCTCATCATTCTCATTTATTTTATAGGATCTTGGAGCATTCATTTTGAACGTGGAAGTGGTCTTGTGACTCTTAGAAGTCTTCATTGGATTGGATTYTCATTTTTCCATGTTCCTGGTACTAGAAAATATGGTTATATTTATGTTGGAACAGGAAACAAGAACCTTGACTTACCATTCATGTTGTAAATATATTTTGTTCATTTTTTWAAATATTTGTACATTGAGAGTTATTATCTGCGAAAATGTCAAACAATGCCTACAATATCAAATATACTTTATAGCAATAGTATTCTCTTGTAGTTTTTGTATGGTAACTGTAAACTAATAACTCTATGATAATAACTGCATTCATTAGTAGTGTATGATTGACAATAATAAAATCAATTGCATTATTCTCTGGGCTCCACAAGTGCTGTCATGATATGAACTATCTAACATACCGGTACATGTTTAGTTTACCTTTATTCAATCACCTCAATAACATATAATGTTGTCCTCAATTCATTAATAAGCATCAAACTATTCACAAATATACAAACCAATGCATTTCTTTATTTTCCATATATTATTATAAAGTAATATGTACAAACTTAAAATTCTTGATATGTTAGTTTCGAATTTTATTATCAGGATTGACAGGTCCACACTTTGGTAAAAGACCTGAAATGAAAATAGACCATAATAATCAATAACAACTACCAGTCTAAACCTGTCTATTTTCACATAAAGATATTTCAATTCTCACCTAGTCTTCTGGAAATTTTTATGGCTTTTTCTAGCTTTCTCTGTTGTTTTCCACATACACCTAAAAGTGACATTTCATTGATGTAAACAACAAGTTTGCAACTAAGGCAAGGAATTATCTCAATTATCACCTGTAATTCTTTTATTCAGCAAGTTTCCTTCTGGTGATAGAAACTGTGCCAAAAATAGAACATCCTAAACAGATACAAACATGAAAGTAAATGTGATATACTTGTGATAACCTTCAGACTTCCCCTTCATTCTTACCTTGTGTGAAAATGAGATATTTGCGCTGCAAATTGGACAACCAATGTCAGCTTTCTCTAAAGGTTTGTCATTTGATAAAATTGATGCTTTCACACCTATTGTAGATACAATCAGGCTACATTCAGCTTTTGAATAGTTTCTCTTTCATGGCACGACAAGCTAGAGCTAGGAAAAAAATTCTAAGCAGGGGTTCTTTAATCCCTCACCAAAAAATGTCAACACCTCTTTCTGGCCATGTATAGTGCTAGATAATGCGAGTTGTCAGCTTCCGGTACAAGTAAAATACACATTCAAAAGAAACGTANTCCTTCTGGTGATAGAAACTGTGCCAAAAATAGAACATCCTAAACAGATACAAACATGAAAGTAAATGTGATATACTTGTGATAACCTTCAGACTTCCCCTTCATTCTTACCTTGTGTGAAAATGAGATATTTGCGCTGCAAATTGGACAACCAATGTCAGCTTTCTCTAAAGGTTTGTCATTTGATAAAATTGATGCTTTCACACCTATTGTAGATACAATCAGGCTACATTCAGCTTTTGAATAGTTTCTCTTTCATGGCCCTAAGCCACCATAAAAGGTGACCATGTATTTGCATCAAAGTGAGGCAACTGGTGAAAGTGCAATGATAGAAAACTCCTTTCATATCTATCAACAATCATTTACAGGCATGCTACCATTGCTCACTGGTTGTTTCACCTGGATACAAAAGGTACTGCTAACTTTAAGGATGCCACAGGATAAAGACACTACTGGAAAAATTAAGTTGCATCATCAAATGTTTCTCTCTTTCCCTCTCCCTGTCCCCTTCTTCCATTTCCCCAATTCCCCATTTCCCTCCAATCCCCTACAGCCAGCTGCATGTTTTATTTCCTAGAGTGTAAAATGGTAGAGCCTGAAAGGAAATGGAAGGTTGAATGGGAGTGAAATAAAAGGAGAAAAATATTTTTCAAATTGGAGAGAAGTGCATAGAATGAATGTAATAAGGATATATGTGCTAACAATAATGTATACAAGGACATTGTTTTTGGCATGGTTTGTTCATCTCTGAAATAACTTTTCAAGTTGTCACTTTACCCAATACTGGAGCTAGATGATAACCCCTCACAAATTGTTTGTAATCTGCTATCTGCTTAGAACGTCTTCCAATTCCCATTCCTGAAAATGCTGCTTGCCTGTTTCGGCTAGATAGAGCAACAAATGCAAGAGAAAAGTCAAGCTTYAGTAAATTCGAAAAACACCTCACGTTGGMGGCCATTTTGTCGAGTGAATAAATAGACTGGGGATAGCTCTTATCACGCATGTACTTATGAAGCAAACCACTGGTTTGATGTATTTTGTGTAACTGCTGATATATTTTACTGAGATCGTAGGCTCATGATTAATYACTTGATCGAAACGAAACATGTGAAGCAATATGTCCAAAGTCACTCTTGAACATGTAAAATGTGGTCCAATACAATAGGAGTAGAACTCAATAAATAGCAAAAACTTTATGGCAGTAGTTTTGCCATCCTCCACCATGAGTTCCATCGCTGGTAATATCATTTCCACAGCAAGAAGGAAACGTGTTGGGTTTCTTCTAAGTCCAAAGAAGAAGCGAAAGACTATCTTTGACGCGTTCATGCAACTATGTGGGTGAGTTTATACCAACTAATATGTATGTTTGCTAATAGAGGTTTCTASAGATCGTTTTCTTTGTCAAGAGAGTGTAGCTATATTGTTTTGCTTGTGTTTGTTTCAGAGAGACTGGCATAGAGCTAGTAGAGGTAAGTTTGTTATTGTTTAGTTGGAGGGTGTGTAACCCACTTCCCACGAAGTTATTGAATCCAAAGATGTTGTTTTTCAAAGCTAACTGTAGGAATCATCATTTTGAACATTTTACAATGCGATTGTGTATTTATTTAATCCTAGCATCAGTTTGTGAAAAAAACATTTTTTGTCATGGTTTATTTCTAAGTTTCATTCTAATTCAGATTTCATCACGTATACAGATTCTTTAATTAAGATATTTTTCCTTATCCACCAGTGGAAAGAAAGTGAGCTCAAAATTACAAAGTAGATATTAACATAACTTGATCGTGATAATAAGAATTGTATTTTCTAATCTTGCATTTATTGTCATATGAAAAAACAAAAACAAAATAAAAAAATCGAAAAAAGGACTTCTTTATCTTGCATTTCACTTATTGTGTCACATTCTCTTTTTAGTTGAACTTTTTATTCGGTCATTGAACTTGCTGATGTTTGGAAACAACTATTTCATACTAATTTCTGTACCTAATATTCATATCAATAATTCAAAAATATATTTACAGTTTAGTACTGCTAGCCAAGTTTTGCACATTAACAGTACTATTTTCCTTTGTATCCTATATAATATTTATTTGTCCTATGATTATTTTAGAACTGTTAATACACATTGTTATCAGTATGCAGCTTTTAAAGGTTCAAACTCGATATTATTATTTTTTTTTATCTTTCAATTATAGATAATCATCTTTTTCATATTTTGTTATCTATTTAATTGGTTGATGTAGACCAATTTATTTACATACGAAAAAAGCAGACGGAAAAAAATCATTGCTATTATGTTACTTGATTAAACTTTACTGTCCTTCAAAACTTCTAGTTCTCTTTCTTTATCTACAGTTAGAAATATATTTTTACACATTATAGTGAAGTTATATAACAGGACAAACACAATATTATGTGTTTATTTACCTTCAACATTATGCCTCCAATCAATTCACAGTTTGAGTTATTCACATTTTAAATTGTTGTTCATGATTCTAGATWGATCTCAATGTCCCTCTTGAAGATCAGGGTCCATTTGATATAATAATACAGAAAATTACAGACATTATGGCACATGCCAAAATGGGCAATGAAGATGCTCTGAAAACATTTACAAGTTTAGAGGTATTGTTTTTTTGTTATGTGATCTTGTAAGGTATGATGGGATGTAGGCATGGTCATTTAATGTAATGAATTGTGGCTAGATCAGTTGTAGTTTGTTATGGGGTGTACTCCTGGTTTTAACATGGTTGTGTGTGATGGTATGTAGAGGTGTGGTATGATGAGGTGTTAGATCAGTTGTATTGTGGTCTATAATAAGGTGCAGTATTGTAAATAGACATGATAGTAAGTAGATAATTGTAATGGAATATTGATGTTTTATAAAACCTTTAGTATGACTTCTAGATGGTAGACTTGTCCAACTGTTATTGATTGACTCTGTATGTAGAAATTAAAGCCAATATACTAGACACCAGGTTCATATTACTCAAATCTATGTCAMTAAACATTACAAAGAAGATATTCTTCTTTCTTTTAGAATTATTTAATGAGCAATCCTGATATTAAAGTGCTTGATCCTTTACATTGTGTTAAAAAGCTTTGTGACAGGCTTGTGAGCTATCAGGTTATGAAACAATGTGAATTTGTAGACAATGGTAAGTGTGGTTACTGATTTATTTCTCAAAACTCAATCCAAGCATAAATAATTGCCATTAGACTGAACAGGAAAAAGATACAGACATTCTCAAGTGTGTGACAAAACTTTCATTATGGAATGTAACATTCAAAYGGGCAATAACAATTAGTGGTCAACTACAGAAAATAAACAACACTTGTACAGTACTATCATTATTGACAATCTTGCAGAAATATTTTACACTTGTTGTTCACTAAATACATTTTATTTCTGTTGTTTTGAAATAGCGATGGCATTGATGGCATACAGATTATGATTGTRTTTATATTTTTAGGCATTAAGACATATATGCCAAGCTTTGTAAGAATTGACAGCACAGACCACAGTGAGAATGTTAAAAGAATAAAAGCAGCCAATGTACAATTCCCAATGGGTAAGAGAGAAAAAAACTTACTAAAAACAAGCATAAACAAACAAGAACATCCATGAACAATAAACTGTCTTGTGACCATTAAACTTTCTTACGAGCAATAAACTTTCTAACAAAYGTTTTTATTCCTTGTGATATACTAATTAAACGTGTTAGAATGAAGACCATAAGTCCAGTCACACAGAGAAAGCAATGACTTAAAGATAATATTGGATATCGTTTAATGTATTTTAGTATGCAAACCACTGATTGGTCATGGTACAGACATGAGTCATAAGGTAATAATATTATTCATTTTTATTATGATATTATTTACCACATGCATTTTCCCACATATATAAATGRACTGCATTAAGTAATACCAGTACAGATTAAAGGATTATCGTTAGCACAGAATTTTTTCTCAGTACACAATCTGTATTAATGTAATGCGCATTATAATAATTTTCAAAGGAACGTAGCAGAATAGGTTGTAGAAGAATATTTTTTACAGACATTTAGCTCAGACTTCTCTTATGTTTCTCTAAACATTATGTACTACATATATTATGATGATTTCTTGTAGATGTTGTTGATATTCAATGAAGAAGGATTACATGATGTGAAACCACCATGTGTCGTTCAACAATTCATAAATCACAATGCAATTCTATATAAGGTAAACTGTGATATCAATTGTATGAGTTTACATTAACTTCCTGTAAATCAATTTAAGGTGTCACTTCATAACTACAGACAAGTTGCTTATATACAAGAAAGAAATATTATACTGTTATCCTACAATGGATGGTTTTGACTGGTCCTGTTTCAATCGTAGAAYCTAACAAATGAAAAATATTACTGCTTCAAAAACATTTTATATTCTTTCACCATGCATCTTATAAACCTTTCTTTTTGTATTTATCTAATCAAAGCTTGTCTAATTTGTGGTTTGTTTTGTTTTTCAGGTTTTTGTAGCAGGAAATAGACACTACATTGTCGACCGACCATCAATTAAAAACTTTTATCACACAAAAGGTTTGTACTTGCATTTGTTATGAAACATGTACTCTTTTAAATAATAGTATAAACTCTATTTATCTTTCGTTTTATTTTCTGAAAGTCCTCAGTTCATTTTAAGCAATTCRTATGGTTCCAAGCTTTTGAAACCTCTTATGAATGATAAGACAGTGGACTGTAACCTGGCTATGTGTTTATATACATATTTGGTAATGTTGTCTCATTTTTTTTTCCATTTTCAGATGTCAAGTTGGACACCATATTTTTTAATAGTCATGACGTATCCAAATCAGACTCGTCTTCACATTTGAATAAAGTGAGAGTCAGAATAGCATTATTTTAGTACTTAATAACACTTTTATACTCTAGATTAACAGTTTTTTTCACAGATTTAAGTTGGTTCATATATTTAAAATTTTGATTGTTATTCATATTATTTTAATTTTGATTATTATTCATTTTATTTTTCCAACAGCTAGATAAGATTGATAACATTGAGGAAATCACGCCTACAGATGAAATGGTTGTCAATAAATTAGTGAAAAARTTGAGAGAAAAACTGGTGAGAAATGTTTTTTTAACTGATGATTAATAAAATTATTAGTCGATATTTATCCCTCTGTTGAAGATTGATGTTTCTAACAGGTCTGTTTTSACAGGGTTTATCCATGTTTGGTATTGATATTGTCATTGAGAAAGGAACAGCTAACCATGTAGTGATTGACATCAATTACTTTCCAGGTATGATGAAATATTGGTTTTGATCTTTTGAACCATTTTTATATAATAAAAATCAATATARCAGAGGTCAACATTTCATAAGTTGGTCCACATAGACTTGTCTAGGTTTTAGCCATACACCTACATATTATGAAGCTATATATAAGAACTGTACACTTTGAAAGGCAGGTGAAAATGCAAATAAGTCAAATGTTTGAATAAATGCATCCAATAATTAATTCATATTGTTCAATTTCATTTTCCAATTTTTTTGCTTCTTTTTCTTAGGATACGAAGGTGCACCATCATTTCCAGCTGACATGTTAAATTACATTCACTGTATTCTGTACTCAAGATAAATATTAAGGAAAAAAAATGTAAAAATGTAATGTAAAAATCATGGCGTGATATCATAGAATCTTTTACCACCCAATTCTAAAACTCATGAATTATTCATTAGACATTCTTCCAATGAGCATTCAACTATGGGTCACATGACAGGATCTATAACTCAAGTTATAAACACTGATTAATTAAACATGAGTTTTATAACTAACCRGTTCAGTTAGTTATAACACTCATGCATAAAACATCAGTGTTGTAACTGATTTACAGACACTCGATGTATGCCCAACACTAGAAAAGTTATCAGTTTTAGACTCTCATCATAGAACTTCACTAGGTCCCGAGTTAACATTACTTATTTGCAGAGTCACAGTACACTAAAACTTAGTGGCGCTTGGATGTGGGAAACCAAGTTGATTACTGCTCATGCTCAGATGGAGATATCTTCATCAATTATTAATTTTTGATATTTTTTTATTTATTTCATGTTTATTGTAGTTCTTAGGTTTGGGTTTTAGAAGTCATTTAAAAAACTCGTAGTTCGTGTTTTATCGTGGATATAAACACTCCTATTCGTTTTTTAAATATCACTTGAAAATCTAGGAATCTATAAAATTCAATGAAAAATGAAACTTACTATCATGAACTTTAATATCACTCCATAGATTTTTTATGGATTTTATCCATTTGATACGGTGTTTTGAATTGGGTGGAATGTTGTAGTCAACAGACTATAGCAGGGTCTTTGGGCTTCCTGTACAAAACAGTGAGGGCAGTTCCTAGCTACAGGTATCCTAAAGTTAAAGCTGCTGTTTTCTCTTGGCTGAACAAAATTAATTACTAAGTTTGAGCTGCATATGTTTTGGATACATTTGACATTTATTATTCTAAAGAAAAGAAGCAATTTTGTTTACAGTTTGTACTATGTAGATTTAAAAAATGAAAAACGTTATTTAAGATGGGACATCAACATACATATGCACATATTATTGTCCAATAATCACAGCAAATGGAATCAAACCARTATACACAGTAAACACAGTTACATTGAAATATTGATCTATTCAAATGACAGATTAATTGAGTTTTAGCAGCACTTTTTTGTGTCATTGTACTTTGAAATGGTAAATTAAAAACAAGTCAGAATCTGTAAAATCGTAGTTTTTACAAAATCATTAACTGTAATGTATTCATATATGTGTGAAATGGATATTAGACTCAATCTCTCTAGCCACTAAAACACATTGTTGTCTTTTGTTTCTATTAGACTACTAGGCATTGACTATCTGATTTTGTTTCACAAGTTCTAACATATCCAAGTAAAACTCTATAGCAGCTAGTTCTTACAATAGCTGTGGACATTTTCTAGCGGTAAATAAGGGTGTTTTTACAGGATTTCTGATAACTTTGCTATTAGCACACAAAATAAAGTAAACCAACATAAAACAGGTATGCAACAGCTAAGATTATTTTAAACTAGCTAAAAGATTTTTCTTGTGTTTTATTAAGTTAACCACAACAGCTGAGAGAGTGGTGTCCATGAACGAATGCCATGAACTCATGAATTAAATTGAAATGAGAATCACAGCTTTATCAAACCACTCAACTAGTTTCAAAAAAACTTGTGTTCTCAGGTAAATATAGTGGATGGTAAAATAATGTTTGTGAGATGTTACTAGCTGGAAGTTTTAACAAATAATACAACTAGTCCTCAAAATAAAACACTTTTTTAAGTTGTTTGTTCTCATTATTTTATATTAACTGAACATGAGTTGTATTTCTGCAATTACTTTATTCTTCATTGTTTCCGATCTCCTTCAAAGCAATGACTATTATTTAATTTGATAACAAGCCTTTGCATKCAGATTAGAGAGCAAAAGAACAAGAAATAGTTAAAAAAAAGATAAAATATAAAACTGAAATATTTTGTATTTCTTTCTGTATGACTTTTATTCAAAGCAAGAACAGAGTGAAAATAACAATAAGTCAAGTACATTCCCWTTGCTGAGTATAGGCATGTACAAAATCATAAAACTACTTAACTAAAAAGGATACGTTTCAAGACCTTTGATTAAAAAGTGTAGCCCAAATCATTTCCAGGTTTAGGTAAATGTAGTACATTTTTCTGTTTGTCTTTACTAAGTGAATCATGCTCTTGAGGTGGTGGAGATTCCTCAGAAGCGCTGTTGCTATTCTTGTCGGACTTAAGGGGTGAATAATAAGATTTTACTGGCTGGCTGTTGTCTGATTCCTCTGCTTCTCTTCCCTGAGACTCCATCGAATGATAAGATGATTGGGATATAGAATCCGTTGATTCATCACCAGAGGGATTTGGTGTTTCCCAGACTGGACATTCTTCAAAATCATCTGAATACATTGAGAGAGCAGTTGATGTCCGAGATTTAGCTGTTTGTGAAGTGATTGATCTTCTTCTTGTCAGGTCTGGGGTCTTTCTTGGTGATGGCGTAGAGACTGGACTACYTTTAACACCTTCGGATTGGTCAGGAGACTTTTTGTGTGAATTAGATATGTCAGAATTTTTGCTGAGATTTGATTGGTCATCTGTTGKTTCTGATTGGTCAGGTCTTATGTRTGKTGAGTCTGGATGGTCAAGGCTGGCATGTTCTGGAATATCTGGGATCCCTGTGTGTCCATATTTGTTGTATGTCRAGTGAGGAGCAAACCTGTCTTCAGCATCAAGAGCAGTAACATCAAAGATGTCACTAYGATCTGACTCACCTAAAAATATCAGATTCATTTTTTAGTTTTAAAAGTTTGATATAATATTGATGCGGATTTCAACAGACATACCTTCCATTTGAGGCAGGAAGATCTCTACACTGTTTGGGCTACTTAGGCATCTTGAACTGCTGTCAACACTGTCTGGTCGTATTGTATCATTGTCTTTTTTTAATTCACTAAACCTTGTTTCATCAACACCTGGAAGTAAACATAATAAATGATTTCAAACCATTTCTTATAGAAGAAAAAGAAACAAAGTCTAGAATGGAAGCTGATTCATTATAAATTGGCAAGTACCTTCATCTGTTTGTGTTTCTGCTGTCACTCTATTTTGCTGTTCTGTTATAAATGGCCTCTGAAATACAGTGTGTGTTCTTTCAAGATCAGAAGATTTTTTCTCTGGCTGTGTTAATTCTTGAGAGGGAAAGTCTTTYCTACTTGATGTTGCATCCCTTCTTGATGAMTGTTTTGTTTTCTGGTTCATCTCTAGTCTCAATAGTTGAGTTTTTGTCATCCCATACTTCAAATTTGTTTGCTTAAATTTTACTCTTTTCTGCATAAGTACTGAAGGTTTCACCTTTTTGGATTTTTCACTTAATTTCTTGTCCACTACCTTAGAGCAGCACTCCCTCAGTCTCTGCTCATTTGGTTTGGGTARGGAAACTTCCTTTCTTAAAGGTGTTGGTACTTTTGCATTTTCTTTTCTATGTGTTCTTAAAAATGACAATTCTTCTAGAAGTGCAGTAAGAAGAGGAAGCTCATTAGAATTTAATTCTTCATGTACAATGCTAGGATTTTCACTGGGTTTTTGTCTTTCTGTTAAATCATGTTTGCTGTCCGTTTGAACTGAGACAGAYGCACAACCACARCTCCCATCAGGTTGCACTAAGTCAGGTTTATAATAAACAAAGTCTACATCATGTTTGATGTTTAAAGAACTATCATCAAATTTAGTTTCTTTCATTGTCCTATTTTCATTTTTCTTGCCAGTATTCTCAGCRTGAGACATGACATGATAATATAGAGGAGGTGGACAAACTGTGTTAGAAATAATTGCAGTCTCGCTTTCTACATCTTCCATATAAGGAGGGCTTGCGTGTGTGACAGGTTTGTGTGCTTGTACTTCAGGAGTTTGAGTATTAGTCTGTGTTGCAGCACACTGCAATGTTAMTGGTAAATTCCCAGAGCTTGGTTCKTCATCAATGACCTCTAAATCTTCAAGAATAATATCACTCCCTTTATCGTCCAAAGTTTTCTTCTGCTCTAGCTTTCTTTCTGATTGAATGATAGATTTATAGGAAAGATGAGGAGCTAAACACCCTCCTAAGCTCAACAATCGTATGCAAAGTTTGATAGTGCCTACAATTGTACCCATAAGATTATAGACTTGATATAGACCCTCTTGCTGGCTTATTGTAGGCACAGAGATTCCTGATTGTTCTACATCAACTGCAATCTTATCAATTGTATTCTTTAAAGGAATCAATGTACTCGCAACAAGTTTTGGTTTCTTATGCCAAACATCCAACAGCATAACGTAAAGTGGAGTACCCTGTAATTTACTTTGCAAGTTTTCAATGTTAKCCCTAAAAAGACAAGACTTCCCTTTGGAAAAACAAATATTCCCATGACGGTCCCTGAATTCAGCTTGTATAGAGTCTTTTGYAATGCCTTGTACTTGTGATTTTTCACGGAGTTTTTGCACATTTGCAGGGGAGACATGATGGAGGATTAACGTTGGAAAGTCAAGAAGACGAAAACTCACGGCTGGAATGACGCATGGAACTTTTAACCCWTTGATATTTTCGACGTTTAGCTCCAAGGAAAATAAACTCTCGTTTATGTYCATTTTTCAGAACTTCAACCTTTCAAGTCATTGCATGTAAAAGTCATACACAAAAACATTGCTATTTTCCGCCATTTTCATCCGCCTCAGGACCACAAGTTAAAGGACAGGGATCCCAAACCTTTAACTCGTGGATCGCATATTTAACGAGTGCGTCTTTTCTTTCGCTGGTATCCCCTGGAACTAAGAATTTATGTTTTTAAAGTTTCTAAACAGAGTTGACACATGCGTTTTAAAACAAGTAGATTATATAGTAGCGCTGTTTATATTCATACTACTAATTCAAACCACTACTCCAATGAGGAAAATATTCGATTTTAATTCAAGTTAAATCATCATTACTAACATCTCTGTATCAATAAATCATTACATCGTACTTTCGGTCAGCAGTCGTAAACCCTAAAAATCAGAGTTCCAGGCCTGGTGGAATGAGTACAGTATCAATAGTGTGAATAACACCATTAGTAGCCGTTGCATCCACGTACACTACACGAGCGTTGTTAACATACACAGCTCCTGGGGCAAAATGCACAGATACATCACTTCCCTCAAGAGTGGGAACCTTTTGGCCAGAGTAAAGACCAGCAGAGCACTGGGTACCAGCTACCACGTGATACTTCAGAATTTTGGTCAGCAATTCGATGTCAGCCAGGATCTTCTTTAGCTTTTCAGGATCAATCTTTGCAAACGCGCCATTTGTAGGTGCAAAGACTATGAAAAAGAAATTATAAATTCTTACTAAAGTTTTCACAAAGAGCTTTTGTATTCTTTTTTACCTGTAAAAGGTCCGTCTCCGCTCAAGACAACATCAAGTTSRGCTTTCTGGAGAGCAAGGAGCAAGGTGCTGTAATACTGCTTGTAGGTCGTGACTATCCCAGCAATGGTTTCATTGGCTGGTATCATTACATTTTCCACTACATGGATTACACCGTTGGATGCATTCTGATTGACTTTGATGATCTTACTACATTGAGCTGTTACAACCTGAAAGAGGAAACGAGTTTTTCCCGTCAATTACATTTTGTTCTTTTGTCAACTTCATATATCCCATCAACGTGAGGTTGCTACAAACTTCTCCTCTCTAGCTTTTGGAAGAATGGAATTCTYTTGAACTAAGGTAGTATAATGATTCTCTTATTTATATTAAATATACTGGAACCTCGTTTATCCGTTCACCGAAGCTGGACATCGAAAAGTGTTCGTATTATGGGGTGGACGTTATAACGGAATGGCCTTATTGAGTGGATAAGTACAAAATACTTATAAACCTGCGTAGCGGCTCTAGGAGAGGGGGAAAGGGGGAAAACGGAAGGGGAGGGGGTGGACTCCTCTCCTCCCACCTCACCAGCCCCCTCTCCTTCCGTTTTCCCCCTCCCCCCTACCCTAGAGCCGCTATGCAGGCTAAATACTTATTCACTGTAACTAAATACCTTTCCAACTCCATCGTTCTCGTAGATATTAAAACGAATCGAGAGTTTTGGCTTAGTTTCCAGAATTGTTGGWACAAGAAGCTCGTTCTTGATAGCACTRGCGTAGACGTCACCTTTCAGTACGTGGAAAAAAAGGAACAATCTCAATATCGTGTCATTGGCAAGCAATGGCTTGATTGGCTCAGGAACTCGATCAAATCCTTCATTAGTAGGTCCAAAYAGAGTTAATGCTGGTGCATTCTCTAGAACAGAAGCAATTTTGACTTTCTCGGCAGCGGCAATGAGTGAAGTTAGGCCAAGCGACTGAGCAAGGTCCACAAGATTGCCATTTTGTTCGCTCGTTATCTGTGTTGCAGGACTGAGCTTGTACAAAGGAAGCCTGTAAGAGTTTACAGAGAGAGTAAACGCAAGGCCAAGAATGATAAACTTCAACATAGCTTCAAGATAATGTCTCCAGTGTAATCCTCAGAAGCCCTCGTCTAGCTCACTKACGATGGCAATCTGTTATGCAAGCCCTTTATATACTGATAAGTGTTACGTAATTGTCAAATTGAGAAGGTCAARACWCATGTTATTCGATCTGCACGAGCAGGATCTGCACGAGCAGTGCACAGAAGCATCACAGTACAATAGGACAATAACGTYTTGTTGCGGTTCTATCATGACTAACTGTTATATTACCACATGGTGGTAATGATGAACACTTTGATATACACTTAAATATACTTTAAGGAAGTTTATCATTTGTTGTTTTATGTTTTTACGTACACRTAAAAACATTACGTAATGTAATGGCAACTTTTCCCTGCTGAGAGAAAGGAGAAATTTGTTATGTTTCTCTTCCATAAACTATTCATAAAATAACAAAGAAATATTTGCTTGCTTATTGTTTTAAGGAGAAAACAAATCATTTATTAGGTTTTAACATGTTTTCAGTTTGATGTCTACGGATTTAAAGAGAGAGAGTCACGAGTTGAAAATTGCATAACGTGGTGACACATATTTTGCTTAGGTTCGCTTTTTCCCTTAGCAGCTGTTGAATTTGTACCGCAAGATTTCTTGAAGGAGAAGATTTTCACAACTTTAATATTTTGATAAGTTTAACAATATATATTTTAATAAGTTTAATCTGTTATATGATAATCTTTAAATGATGGACGGGYCAGTTCGGCAGCAATCAACGAAATAAGTTTATGTAAAGCTACAACCTCAACTATGACCACAAATGTTACAAGGYGTTGTTATCCTTTTAAAAAGGCGTGCTTGTCAACGTGCATACGACTTATTATAGCATGCTACATATTATTAATCACTATTAAGTTGCGGGCTCCCTTGGGCACAGGAAGCCTGAAAGAGGAACAGGCTGTGAGACGAGAGAGGGAAGGGACCATTGTACTATAGCTGTGAAACCTWATATTCTTCACAGTAGGTACTGAAATAAGCTGAAAATCTAATGGATAAAATTAGAATGGGTTTGTTAGGTCGGACCAGGAGCCTCCATCTCGGTAACTCGATCAAGAATTTTTATGAACAYCTCTCCTGTCATGCATGACAATAAAATGTTAAGAACACTTAGCTAAAAATTCGTTGGAATACTAGTAATCCTTTCCAATTTCACTGTAGACTTATCTGATAATATTTTCATAACTCAGCCGGTATGGGTCACGCGCTTCCGTGTCGGCCAAATAAAAATAACAAATGTTATAACAATTGATATGATTGGACGAATATAGAAGAGCATCTCTGATTGGTGGAAGTCTAGTGATCAACTTGTTGAAAAGTTCATGCATGCACTTATTTCTTCAAGAGCGGTTCATCGGCGGTTTTAAATCTTGATGTAATATCCTTACGGCGCAATTCCTGAAATGACATGACTGTGAAGGATACTGTGGTGTTGGACGTTACATTTTTGGCGTTTAATTTGTTGAATGTATCATTTATCTTAATGCAGCCCTTGTGTTGTACCCTGTGATCATTCATTTGCGAAGGACACACAAGAAGAACTTCATAACGACAACAACAGATTTTAATTCATCCTACTTCGGCATTGGTGTGTGTTTGGAGAGCTTCTTTTCACAGATTTGAGGTCGAAAATCATCGAGTTCAAACTCTAACCTGCCCTCCTGGATGAATGAATGATTTTAATTCGTATCCTTCAAATTCGGACTGATTCTAATAAATTTATTTTCGAAACTATAAAAAATCGATAGAGATTGGTACAGCAAGTTGCGATAACCCCCAAACCGAAAGATATGGCATCGTTGAAAGTTGCAGTTCGTGCTCGACCATTRAACAAGAGGTAAAATGAACAATCGACGTCGACTTTTGTGCGCTTATTTGTTAATTTATTCATAGAAAATCAAAGAATATTCTTTATTGATATTATACATCTGTATTTGCAGAAGTTAATGGTTTGTCTTTCTCTTTTTCCTCTTTTAGAGAATTGGATTTGAACTCGAAATGTATTCTTGAAATGGAAGGAAACAAGACAACGATCTATAATACTAAGGTGTGCATTTATAAACTGTCCTTCTATTTGTTTGAACCATTTACATCGATTGTCTTAAAGTTATTCTCTGCTGTAYAATAGATTGGCTGAGGAGTTCAATGACCCACATATGACTAATGATATCTTGTTTCGTCAACTTTCAAAAGTGCTTGTAAACATAGGATTTCGAGTTGAACTTCTTTTGTCACGAGATGAAACTTTTGGCACACGTGGACGTTTYATGAATAATCTTTGATATACAGTTTTATTCTTTTTTATTTACATACTTTTTGATTCAAATTATCTTTATGAAAGATCATAACCTAGTGTATATGCAAACTGATGCAACACAATGGCTTTTGAAATTATATGAAAACAATGGTTATCTCTTTATAGACGTGCTAATCTTTGTGCGTCTGTAGATGTGCTGCAGTCCGTTTATAAGTTTCGCGATGAAAACTCAAAAACGTCACGCTTTTATGCTTTAAGTATGCAAATRTAATMATCTTGCCAGGCCCATCTASAATATGATYCTCTTCGTGAGATARACATTTGGCGTGTTTTCCAAAGTGTTTGTAAATCTTCGACAGCTATAAATGCTCGTTTTAACTAAATTTTGTTTGATTTTTGTCCTAATTTTACGAACGCCGCTCTATTATAAACGTGTATCAACATGTTAAAGCGATTTTATGTTAATTAATGTTATTCAAAGTTTCTTCTTTCTGGAAATTCCATTTTGTGTTGACAGCTGTAACTAAAGCTAATGTAAACAATGTCCGCTCCTAGAAAAAACGGCTGTGGACTCTTAACTGATCAATGTATCAAGATATCTTTCTCAGACATTTTACAGACACGGCAGTGTTTATGATGAATGAGTTTCTGGCGTTTATTTTGAATATGCCCTCAAGCTTCTAAAAATTTTCATTTTCTGCTGTTTCCTAGATAGCATCAAGAAGCTTATGTGATCTGTCACTAATTTGAACAATGAAAAATAAAATTTTGAAAGAAAAGAATTTAAACGAAAGTTATTTATTATGATTTTCACAAAAAATATATAATTTATGTGTTTGTATTTACTAACAATTCTCAGATTTGTGCTCCATAAAACATAATACTTATTGTTTATGTAATTCTTAATTATTCAGTGTTTTAATCATTTTCTAAAAGGGCTAACATAACAGATATTTGTCATCGCAACTTTTCTAGGTTCTATTATTGCATAAACTACTRTTAGTTAAGCCAGGGCCAAATGGTTGCCAGGGCAATGCCTGAAAGTAAACTTACCTTTTGGAAAATATAAGCGATTGTGAAACTAATTTGACATTGAACAACATGATTAAAYGTTTTTGAGGCAAATTGAAACACAATAGAAAAACTATTTAGTTTACATTTTATTATTTTCTATATTTCCACTTTATGACAAAATTTGTATTTTCCTTTTGAAACGTTAAGTAAGAAGTCTTCATAATACTTTAAAGTGTTTGTAATCAAACTGAGTTCAGAATTTTCTAGAACATCAGGTTAGCACAAGTATCCTAGCAACTGCAAGTCTTGTCTAGTTATTCATTAATCAATGTGAATGACAATTATCTCAATGAAATACTTTAAGCAGATGCATTGTCTTCATATTCTAAGTGCTATGTAGACATGAAATTGGGTAGAGTAGAATTTATTGTGTCTTAACCTAAGGAGCTAAGTTCTTCAGCACTTGAATTGCTTTGATCCTGCATGCAATTTTGCTTTCGGAACCCATATCGTAACACAGAATCCATATCCTACAACACTCCCCACAGACATGATTGGTGATTCCACCAATGAGAATAGTCTATTATTCATAGTTTAAAGCTCACTATGATAGCAGGGRRGTTCAGAGTATTTTTAGGGGGGGAGAGGCTAAGGCACATAGGTAGCACTATGATGTCACTTCAGAGGTAAATTAAGGGGTATTGAATGGYAAAATCCGAGCATTGCTGAGCCTTCGAGCCCCTGGTTTTAAAATCTAAGCTCGAGCCTTTGGCTGAATGAGTTGATATTTCAGCAATTGTGAGCTTTTTAGCCAAAAGCAATTTGAAATTCCTRCCCCTTTCTTTTAAGCACCTGGCTTGCAAGCCTTGGGAAATTTTTGACCCCTAAATTAGGGTTGTAAAGTCATAATTTGACAATTTATCTGTGCGTTATTTTGTAGCTTTATGGCGATGTTGGCTCAGAAGGAGATAAAAGCAGGGAAATGAAGAAAGAGTTTTTCTATGACTATTCCTACTGGTCTGTTAATCCTAAAGATCACCATTTTATCGAACAAGAAACAGTAAGTCATTCAGTGCGCATTACAGCTCTGCATRAACTTGGAGTACCATAAAGAAATTGTTGAGTTTTACAGAGTTAATTTTGCTTTTTTACAAAACAAAGAAAATACATCACCCTAATTTGCATTCAAATATATATATATATTTCCCTACTTTCAATGTGAAGTGATGTTTTGTTTTGTGAAACATTGTTTGTCTAAACCCCTGGCTAGATACAGTCCATTATAATGGAGACAACATGCCTTTTTGTATTAATTTGCCAAATTCAATTACTGAATATATATTTTCATGTCATAGATTTTTGATGACCTTGGTAGAGTTGTATTGAAATCGGCCTTTGAAGGATACAATGCTTGCGTGTTTGCATATGGACAGACTAGTGCTGGGAAAACTTACACCATGATGGGAAATAATGTATGTAAATATCCTGAGGTAGCTCATAGTTCAAATAATGAGATAAATTGATGGCAAATTGCTGCAAACATCTGCTATAATTTATTTTGAACGATATCATTGTATGTGGTGTTATTGTTATCAATCCTCACAAGRCKGCTCTAGTTATCACCATAGTGATGAAAACTAGTTTTTCGCGTTTGTATATGGTTGCCATAGTGAATTCAGAGCTATGTATGGTTAATATGGTGATTCCAGATTAATAATGAAAGAGTTGTCATTGAAATTGCATTATTTGATGATGTTTTTTACAGGATAATGTTGGTCTTATCCCACGAATATGCAAGGTAAAAAGTAAAAGTAGTTTTTATAATAATAATGATATTGTAATTAACAATTGCAAGGATGTAGTAAAAGTTATGTTGTTTCTTACAACTATATTGAATTTGTTGTTCTATTTTAAAAGGGTTTGTTTGGATACATTACCAAGAACTCATCAAACAGGATATCTTTCCGAACTGAAGTCAGGTACATGTATAAGATAAAATATAATACTCAAGAGTCATGATGTGCAAAATATAAAATAATAAAAATCWTTAAATGATTAAATCAAAGAAATATATTGGAATTGTCATATTAAAAAAGCAAAATGCAGAAATTAAAGGAATTAATATATATCAAATAAACAGTTGTCAGTATTCAGGAAAAATTAAAAAAATACAAAGCCATTGAATAAATGAATTCTATATCRCAAGGTCAAAAMCTWATATGAGAGTCCAGCAAGTAATTGTAAATTTATTGTGTTTTCATCTGTCTGTTTGTTTTTATTTGCTTCATATTGTATTTTCATATTTAATCCACCCTCTAGTACCACATTTATATAGTTTTGCCATTATTCTAGCTATATGGAAATCTACAATGAGCATGTACGGGATTTGTTAAGACCACAAAATCTCAGAAAACGGCCCCAGCAAAACCTCAAAGTGCGAGAGCATCCAAAAGAAGGACCATATGTTGAAGGTGTGTGCAAAACCTCTTTGCCATATCAGTATATTTTGGTAGTAAATAATGTTTCAGACATGGTCAAACATGTCTAGACAAAAAAAAAAATAAAATAAAAAAATGTCTAGACAAAAACTAAACAGTGTTATCTTTATTACAGGTTTAACCAAGCAGCATGTGTCTGATAACGATTCAATCGAAGTCCTTATTGAACAAGGAAATCGGCAAAGGTTTGTTATTAGGAAATTTCACCAAACACTTGGTAAAATGACAAAACATCATCAATCACTGACAAATAATGACCTTCCAGCCTTTATTATAGAGCTTGATGAGCTGTTTATTTTAGGCATGTTCTTTGTTGGTGGTGCTTCCTGCCCTTCCCTTTTCCTATTTCGTGATAGACTTTTTCCATTGTTTTTCTCAGCACGTGCGGACCACGCCTACCATGCTCATCACCCTGGAAGTGGTTTCGTGTGACCTTTTTGTCGTTGCTCAAAATGGACTTTTTTATAATTATAATTATCATTATTTTTTGACTACACTTATACTCAAATAGATTGCTAAGCAACATAGTGGCACATTTTGTTCATGCCTCTAGCGGCGTTTTCTTGATAAAAGTACAACAGGAGTAAAACAGCACAAAAACGTTTATACTGATATATAAAAAAATTATGTCGTTCGAAAAGGGGGGGTGAGTCCGCACCCAAAGCACCTCCCCTGGATCCGACCCTGATTATCGCAACAGAACGACAACAAGGCTTGAAGATAAACAATGAAATTACAACTCTAATGACTTATTAACTTGAACGCACATACACCGAAACCGCCAAAACATGTGGTGATGCCTTGTGACCCTCAAGTGATCATGTTTCTGGAAGTCTCACTGTTTGCTGATGKCTATCAGTATAACCTTTCGCGTGTGCATTTCAGAATGCGCCGTCACGCAGTCATGATTAGTCRACTAAAACAGCACAATTCAACACCAAAAGCATGTTGCGTGACGTATAAAAAAAACTGTTCATATTAAAGTTGGAAAACACTGACTAGAATTAACTTAGAGTCGTTATTGTACCTTCCAGGTCAACAGCATCGACGAAGATGAACGAAATGAGTAGCCGATCACATGCCATTTTCACCATCAAATTCACACAGGTGATGTCTCTACACATTAGAGAGTTTTAGATACGCGTTCACGGCGAACGCCAAACGTCAAAACTGATCACGTGATCACTGTTTTTCTGTATTAACGCTCCGTCCTTTCGCGATTGTGTRTAAAATAGAGCATTTTTTTCGTGCAGAAACGCATTACTATTTCTTTGGAAGCGTTTTTGCGTTTGTTTGAAATTTTAAGACAAAGCTTAAAAGCTCATTTCACCTTTGGCGTTTGCAGTAAACGAGAATCTAAAACTCTCTATTGCTATTATATAGTGAGTGAGAAATTGTTCCAAATCAGAGGCATAGAGACTCTAATCTGCACACTTCATGGCGGTTTCTTACCAGAGAGTGGAGAGATGCTTTTTACTCTCGTGTAGTGTTACCATTTAAATTTGTTCTTTTAAGGAAACGCCTTCAGTAACACGTGATTTACTATCATTTCAGGCCAAGTTTCTGGAAAACCTACCCTCGGAAACCATCAGTAAAATCCATTTGGTAGACTTAGCAGGAAGGTTAGTTGAATTTCTCACATTGTTCTTTCTCTTTTCCTTCATTTTTCTTGCTCTTTCCTGCTGTGTCGTCTGACTGGCTTTGGTTTTTGTTTTCGTAGTGAGCGAGCAAGCGCAAGCGGTGCTACAGGGGATCGCTTAAAAGAAGGCAGTAACATCAACAGATCCCTGGTTACATTAGGGATAGTTATATCTACATTAGGTACGACCAGTCATTTGATATTCCTACTAAATGTGGACAACTTTTGGTGTAATATAATGAGAACACTGTTCTTCCAGCTGAAAACTCTCTCAACGAGGTAGAAGGATCCAAGCGATTAGCGTTCAGGAAGAAACTCTTTGTTCCTTACCGTGACTCCGTGTTAACTTTCCTTCTTAAAGACAGTCTTGGCGGGAACTCAAAGACCGTAATGTTAGCAGGTACAATACACTTGATTTGATCGGTTGTTAGTGTAGATGAGACTATTATTTGATTATTGCTGTGTTGTTTTTCAGCTGTATCTCCAGCAGAATGCAACTACGGCGAAACACTGAGTACTTTACGTTATGCACAAAGAGCCAAAAACATTATTAACAGGCCAACAGTAAACGAGGTAAATGAATTTCCTGTGTTCTGTACTTACCTCGATATTAATGCATTGTGGTATTGAAAATAGGATCCAAATGTCAAACTGATTCGAGATCTCAGAGCTGAAATCGAGAGATTGAAATCCAAACTAACGGAATCAAACATTACGGTACGTGTAATCTGCTATCGTTGTTGTAGTCGCAAAACGATGGATTGTAATCGGTTCGTTACCTTGTTCACTTACAGAAATTRAAAGACTCCGACGAATCAAACACAAATCAAAAGATTCACGACAAAGAAGCTAAAGTAGAGAAATTGACTAAGGACTGGACCGAGAAGTGGAAAGAGGCCAAGATGATAATGCAGGTATTTCAACTCGTTTGTTCGGMCTCTACCGTCATACGCGCCCTCTTTCTTTGTGTTTATGTCTGTGTGTGTTTTAGGAAAGCGAGCTTGCGTTGCGTCGTCAAGGCTCATGTGTTCTCATCGATCTCGAGCTGCCACATCTTGTACGTCTTGAAGAAGACCCATTGAAAACAGAGATCAAGCTTTACAGACTAATGGTGGGTGAACAAGTTGTGTGTTGTTTTATGATATCTGCCGCTGTTTCATATGAGCGCAGCAAGCTCTGGGAAAAGTATGAGTCGATAATCATTGAGATTTCTTTCCACAGCATGGCAAGACTAACATTGGACTAGAAGACGCACCAGTACCACAAGATATAGGTACGTAAACATGTACTTCTGGTACGTATATATTGTACACATGAAACCAACTATTATTGCAATTTATTTTTCTTTAGTTTTGGAGGGACAGGACATCGAGAAACAGCATTGCGTTGTGGAGTACGTCAAAGGAAGAGTGACTTTGGATCCTCTTGCTTCTGCTTGCTGGATTAACGGTGTCTCTCTTGTACAACCAACCAAGTTAAATCAAGGTTAGTCTAGTAAACCAGTACAACACACAAGGGGGATCCATTAAAGCATGTTGTTGAACTTTGTAACAGGTGACGTCATTGTACTTGGTCAAACCAATGTTTTCAAATTCAACTTTCCAACCGAAGCTGCAAAACTAAGAGAACAAAGACGATCAGGGCTGTTTGGAGCTGTAAGTACCGCTACTTCCACTCGTTGATATTCCATTTATTTTCTTGCAATTTTAATTCCATTTATTACCAGTTTCTATCCATTCATTTCCTCCCTGTTGTCTTGTAGGAGTCTTCTGAGTCTCTCCTTGGATACCACATGTCACCGATTCGTGGTAGCCATGGCGATATCAGTTCCAGATCTGACGTATCATCGCCGTTTACTCTGGATTCAGGGTTTGTGAAGTTTATTTGTAAATGGGAGGAGYGTAGAAAGTCTGATACTCCACGCTAGCTTTTGTGAAAAGACGTCTTTTGCCTATGATGCCGAAACGAAAACTATTATCTCTTATCATTATTTGTTTTTTTCTAGGGTGGAGATAGATATAGGAGAAGGCGTGGATGATCTAAAGTGAGTTTTCACTTGAGTAACTTTTCAATATTTGTGACATTACAGCACGTCATATTGCATTGATATGTTAAACATAAAGTGTTTTGTTATCTCCTCAGGAATAACATCACTGATTTAATATCCAAACACAAGGAAGCCGAAGTACGTCGACTCGAAGTTGAACGAAACTACAGGGAAGAAATTGAGATGAAACAAAACGAGATTGAAGCACAGAAAGAACAGATTCAGCAAATACGATCTGCTCATGACAAAAACTCCCGCAAAACTAGGGAAGAATTACATCATGTACAAGAAATGATTGAGACTAAAAACGAACAAGACAAAAATGCGATTAATTCAGAACTTGAAAATTTGTTTGGACTTCGAAAGACCTTCAATCTAGAATACCCTGGACTTGATGAAAAAGAAGAAAAGGAAAAGCAAGACTTGCAATCATTTATGGAGGACGAATGGGATAAAGTTGAACATTTTGAAATCAAACTTGCAGAGATTGAGTTATCAAGAAGGAAGACTATTGATAAGGTTGCTCTTGATGTTCAAAAACAAAAAGAACTGCTGGACTGGGAGAAGGACCAAGAACTACGAGACATCGAAGAACAACAAGAAAACCTGCTTGAATTRCAACAGCAACTCAAAGCCTCGCATGAGAAAGCCGAGAACGAATTAAACAAGGTTAAACCATCTCTTGAAAGGACATTAAATAAAGAAAGAGAAGAACTTGAACACTTAGAAAAGAAAATTCAAGGTCTTGGTGGAAATAAGAAAAAACTGGAAGAAACTTTAGATGTTGAAATGGCAGAAGAGGAAGAGGATCTAAATTCAGACGAGAGCCAACTTAAAGATCAAAGAACTTTGACTAATCTGTCTAACCTGTCCGCAAGTATGGACAGCTATCAAGAGGAAAAAGGCTCGCCTGATAACAGATTTAAGCAAGAAGAAAGGAGGTTGAGTAATTTAGACGACGAAGTTCAACGATTAGAGCTTTTGAAAAGCGAGAAAACCAAAATCGTGACAGAAAGCCAACTTGCGTTATTGGAAAGAATGAACAGTCTAGAGTTGTATCGGGTCAAAATCCAAGAAAACGAGGARAAGTTATGCGAACTAGAAACCATTTTCAAACAGAGGGAAGAAAAACATCACGAAAAGATTGGTTTATGTCTTGAGAACATGCGAGAAGAAAATGATTCCCAGATGACTGGGTTTCAAATCGAACGAGAAAAATACCTCGAAATGTTATGGACTGAATATGAAGAAATCGATAAAACTGTTGCAGACTCTTGTCTTGGTCTAGAGATACCAGAAACCGAACAGAAGAAGAAGTGGGAGGAAGCTTTATCGTTAAAAAGGAAAGTTGTTGTTGATCTTGTGAAGAATAAGTTTGAACACATTGGTTCACTTCAAGATGGGCTTTTCCTTGACTGTCTCTCCAAAAGACTCAGGCTTGAACAAGACGAGGAACGAGTTCTCGACCAAGAAAGAAAGATTTCTGATGAAATACGAGGATCAATGAAAGACAAAGAACTGGCCATTACTAAACTATCAGCACAGAAAGACAAGTTTCACATTGAACGAGAAAGGGAGCGAAAGTTGATCAAATCACGCTTAAAAAGAATGTCAAAACTCAAGTCATATGACGATTTGCAAAGTGAAGAAACGATAGAATTCTTGCGAGAAGAAACTAAGAAACTTCAAGAGACTTTTGAGAAAGTAGAGGAAGTAGAAAGCAGGTAATACAAGCTTTTTTTTACAACGAACGTTATTCAAAATCTTCATGAAATCATTACTGTATCCACCAGACTTTAACCAATTTGTTAAGCAAGATGTTCATATTTCATAGGTTATTATCTGAAACAAGAGAAAAAGAGGTCCTTTTGTTGCAACTTGATGAAGTTCGCACCAGACTCCTTACAAGCGAAGATGAACGCGAAGAACTGGAGACAACGTTACAAGATGTGATGAAAGAAAAGGAAAATAAAGAAAAGTTGATCGAGGAACTCAAAAGAATTGCCGAAGAAGAAAAGAAGAAATACCAAGAAAACCTCACGTATGAATTTCTTTATAAATACATGAAYCAAGCACTGCAGTTCATTGTTACATTTCTCCTGTGTGAGCCATTTCAGTGAAATGAATTGTAGATTATTAGACGATCTTTCAGGGAAAGTTTCCACAAAATATCTTCCACATACTGATCTTGTCTTTTACATCTTTATTTTTTTTATGTGCTCCACCTATTTTCACTATTATATATTTTTGTGTCTAGAACTGAAGATTATGAAATTGTAGAAAGACCTTTAGGTGAGTTAAGCCATAGTTTTGTATTTATAGGGAGATTTTAAGGAAAATATCATCATCTAATGACTATCCATCGGAGAATCACTTCTATTAACCCCTAGCATGGAAACAGCTAACTTTAGTGGCTTTTTGTATTTTCAGTCAATCGTCTTCACATCAGATATCGTGTCATCGGCAATCATGCCGCTGCAGAGCTTCTAAAAGAGGTAAAATAACATTTTATGCAGAAAAATATTCTTCAGGACTTTATTGACTGACAGTTCGCGTTTCCAGGCTCTTCTCGCTTCTAGTGTACCAGAGATTGTACGCATGTTTCCAAGCACTGGTCCTGTACATGGACGTGAATCCAACCATGGTGGCTGGACGTATGTAGAACATTATTTATTTAAATCTGTACTGAAAGTCAGTTTCGCTCTAATGAAATTATAATCTTAGCAACAACAACTTGTTTATATTCATTTGTGTGCTTACTTGTTTGATATAGTGATAAACAACGACCTTTTATTAATATTTGCAAACAGATTCCACAGTTTTCAGAAAGAGGTCGCCATACTAAGGAAACGGGAAGAGTTGCCTAATGGATTTATTTACTGGTAAGACATGTTTATGCGTCCATAACGTTAGACAAAAACTACAACGTTGTCTTCTTATTTTAGTTTTATGGGGCGTGGTATCATAGAAGCATCACCGATGACAGTCTGGGAAGCAGTCCGAAACCCTCTTTCACGCTACATCTACGATAATATGCTCAAGGTTTGGACCACTCCCATGTTTTAGTATTTTTTAATTGACACGTAATAAATCTTGTTTGTTAAATCTAGAAAATCAGCATCGTAGAACACGTAGAAGATGGACTCAAAGTTGGTACGTCATTTGACCTCGGATTCTTTGCGTCTCTCTTGATACCTTCCTTCTTATTTCACCGACTTACATAAATTCTTTKTTCCTTTTCTTTACGTCTTTCATGTCTCCTTGTTTGCGTTACTGTTCTGTTTATGTTTTGAGGTGTTCATGTATTTTACACTTACTTTGTGTTATTTTACGCTACATTTTGGTTATTTTATGTAACATTGTTTTGTTTAGTTTATATGCTTCATGAAACATCACAATGCTTTATGACACATTCACGTGACTTTTGCTACGTTACCAAGGAACGCATAGAGGTAAAGAAATATTTTAAATATTTTAGATACAACTAGTTTCAAAGTTTCAATGAATTCTTGTGTATGGGCTTACCGTTTTTAGGGGCAAAAGTACGTCATGGCATCCCAGTCCATCGATCATCCTAAGGCTCCCCCCGTCAATGGGATCATTAGAGCACAGGTGAGCTTAGTTGACAAAAACATTAATCTATAATAACTGCTATCATCATCATTATTACTATTAAACCAAGCCGTCATTATCGTTTTGTTGAATCATTTCTGTGAAGTTCTTCCATCATTGTTTTGACAATGATTTTGATTTCATCTTTGTAGATTTTATCAAGTGGTTGGATTGTAGAACCTTTAGAAATAGACGGTAAAACAGGATCTCTTGTTTGGTACATCACTAAGGTATAGTCAACCGTCTTCTTCCATTATTGATTAGTTCAGTAGATGGCCAGTGTGTTAGCTAGTTGGTTATTTAGGGGGTGGTAAGGCTGGTAAGTGCTGGGTGATATTGATTGGCTGTCTGATTGACTGACTGATTGATCATCAATTAGTAGTATGGTTGGGTTAGTGTGTGGATAGGTTGTTGCAATGGTTTGTTGGGTGTTATTAATTGTCTATAAATTATTCTAGGTTCACCTTGGCAACACAACATTACCATGGAGACTAATAGACTTGCTTTCCAAGAGACAGCCATTGAGCATAGCTTATCTCAGAAACTACCTCGCACCCATGTGAGCGGGCCTATCATTCTAAGTGAAAATACTGATAAAACTAAAAGCGGTAATTTTTCGTAATGAACGTCGCTCACATATATGGCCATCTAAAGTACTATATTTTGTTTTATAATTTGAAAAAAAATGTTATTTAAGGCAACGTAAGTGTTTGTCTATTTAAGTGAAATCGATATTGTCMCATTTAATAATAAATGCAAATAATATTTGAAACAACGATAATGATAAATAAAGWTTACTTATTCATCTGCCTTGTACTATTACACACACATTCTGTCCACAAATCCCATATCCATGGAACAGGGGCGGGTCCAGGGGAGGTGC